TCCCCCTGGATGGGATGCTAGTCCATCGCAGGGTTACCCCCAGCATTAAATTGCCGGTACCCATTTATACACCTGGGTGAAGAGAGGCACTGTGAGAGTAAAGTGTCTTGCCTAAGAACACAACACAATGTCCCGGCCGGGGCACGAACCCGGACCACTCGATCCGGAGTCGAGCGCACTAACCATGAGGCCACCGCGCCTCCACTCCAGAATGGTAAAGGTGTCGTCAATGTCGCGTTCCCAGGTCCTAGGCTTCTGGGATGACAAGGTTATTGCTTGTTCTTCAAAACTGTCCATGTTGAGGTTAGCACTAACAGCAGAACCCGGATTCCCCATAGCTGAACCCTCTTGTTGTTTGTAAATCGATCCATTATAATACATCGGTAAGACAAAATATAGGAACACGATCGAGACATCTGACTAGCCCATACCCATACCTCCGCCATTTTAGAGTTAAGGTTATTGATTGTGATCCTCACTGATGAACTCGCGAGGTCATAGAGGCTATTCACTTAAGACTTCACCCTAACAACATGAACATAAAAATTTCGGAAGCGTGGATGCCCACGATTTAAAAAAAAAACACAAGAACAGGAGAGCTGTACTGACAACTCACCACCATTAAGGATCGAAATGCACCAATCACAGCCATGGAGTACCAGCCAATCACAGCGGCGCATCCTACTCTTTAAGAAGACCCGAGACCTGTCGGCTTTATCGCCTGATGAAGACTAGCAGTAGGCAGTTGAAATGTCGCAATCCACATCAAAAGGGACTATATCATGAGACAAACGATTATACTTTATTATTGACAGCTTAGTCTTTTGTAAGTTAATTTATTGTTCCTCTGAATGTGGGAACGCAACTAAATCAAACATATATAAGCTGCAATAAGTGCAGAATTTCACTGCAAGAATTGTCCTAGGTTGAAGGAAATATTATCGCATTTCCGAGAGTTTTATATCTCTTAGATGGCTGATTGTCTGCAAAAAGATTTCATTTAATGATTTTTCGTAGTTTTTAAATGTTAAATGGCTTAGTACCAGGTTATTTATCTAATTATTTTACTAAGGGATCAGCGAATTATAGTAGAAACACAAGAAGATCTGAAAATTTGAGCACTCCTCACTGCCCGTTGTCAACACGGCAATGCAGCTTTTATTTTTGTGGTGCCAAACGATGGAATAGCGTTTTGAAAGGTCTCCAGAGCATTCGGGATATAAAGAGCCTTAAGGAAAGATTATTTAACAATAAATGAATAGACATCACTGACTTTCTGTTTTTATTTTGATGGTAAGTTATGATTGTAAATACTGTTGAGTAAATTGTGTCTAAAAAGCCCTGGTAAGGAAGACCCAATAAAGTATGTGTATGGGTATCAGCTTCAAGTTGCATAAGTACAGGAAACTAAAGGCAGTCAATGTTGCAGCGCTTAATTGTAAAGATGACTTATTAATCTCTCACAAATATGTAAGTCTTATTCTACACTCGACAATCACTCTTTTACCTTGGCTGCCCCAAAAGTTTGGAACTCACTTTCGACATATATCAAAAAAGCCAGTACTGTTTCACAATTTTAAATGCTTGCATAAAACCCCTTATATAAATTACTTTTTACATATTTATTCTTAACTCCCATGAATCTGTAATTTTAAGCGATTTACTTTTTTGTATTTCACACAATTATGATGTCATGTCTCGTGCGCTATATCATAAGTTTATAAACTATTATTATCCTTGTAATTTTCTCAATTTGCAAAAAAATGGAAACTGGGAAAATGAGGGATGACTAAATGTGACTATTTTTTCCTTTTTTTTTAAGGTTCTGATTGGAAATGATGACAGGAGCTCTATAGTAAAGCATGTTGTTTATGGATTGTTGACTAGGTATCTGCGATTCCTGCCACAAACTCACCAGGCAGGGGTGTGTATGAGAACAGAGGTGTTTGGGGTGAAGCAAAAGCCAAGTGAGTTTGAAATGTGATGTTTAATGATTACTGTGATCTTCCACTTTAATGCGCATTCTAAGATATTCTGCTGATCTTTAAACAAGGATTGTAAACCTAATACGTCTGAACTCGTGTCATGTTGATATTTTATACTATGTTGTTTGGCTAAGTGGCTAAATTGGTGCAAACTAATGTGAACCTAGAATCTAATAGCACTGTTTACACAGTCATCACACACACCAAACCACCCATGAAAACTTGCGAACTGCATGCTCTACAATTAGTTCTCTCTATTTCACAAGGAAAACCTGCAGTTATTCATATAGAAAGGGAGTAGCTGATAGAAAGAGCTGAATTTGAATTACTGTCGGTACTGTAAGCTTCATTTCGAACTTTTTAAAAAATCTTTATCATTAGATCAATGAAGTGAAATTCAAGCTTATGGTTTTGAAATTATTGGGTAAAAGTAGCCACTAAGTTGAAGTGATATTTGATTTACAGATCCTATAACGTAATTTCATTAATCGTATCATTTATTTTGAATTTTTTTTTTTTAAATGTTAGGACTTAATTTTCAATTTATCTTGCAGTTTGTGAAGAGGAAGCCATTGGTGTGGCCTTTGGTGGTAAAATTCCAGACGACAGCTTCTCTGCCTCGACGTATTACAGTGCTGCATATATACCCTCTTATGGTCGCCTTAAAGGAGGTAAACGGGGATGGGGACCCAAGGATAAAAATAAAAATGGTGACTACCTACAAATTGATCTGCAGTATGAGTATATTGTATGTGCTGTAGCTACTCAAGGAGCTCGAGATACGGCTGAGTGGACAAAAAGCTACAAGATTCAGTTATCATTAACTGGTACCACTTTCCTCTCCTACAAAAAAGACACTAACAACAAGGTTAGTTCATTTGGAGGTAACATGTAATTTATGTTAAAATAAAATATAAATTAAAATACAAATAAAAAAACCGAAATAGCACATACCTGAAGCACTGATTCAATATTTTGAGTAAAGGGGATGGACAAAGCGAAGTTCCTCTTATTCAAGACTCAGTCTCACAAACTGTCTTTCAAGTGAACCACAAACTGTCTCTGAAACAGGCATTGTTTCTTACAGCAAAAACACAAATCTGTGTATATGCATGCACATACAGTTATATGTAACTACATTTCACAATCAGCATCCTGCATGTTTTTTTTGTTAAAGTCTAAGACATCTGGACTTATGATCCATAACTTGTACATAAGTTACCACAGTGTCTGTTAGGTACCTTTTTTCTCACAAATCCTTCACATTCAGCTTTCAGCTACCCACACAGTTCTACCAAATAATACCGTACTTTGTTATTTCGAAGTTCTTCTTTTATCAGATTTTCGACAAGTAACCTATCCCCTTGCAAGTTTTCCACCAGAAATGATATTTCAGCTTCTTACGAACTGGCACTTTTTTGGTTGTTTTCTAATAAAACATTTAAACAATATTTTCTCAATCACATTTCTACTGAGTAAATAATTATACAAGGAATAACTGATTCTTTATTACAGTAGTCAATTTTGTAGTAGATTACTTGAGACAATTTGATACTATAATTTACATTAATATTACAATTCGGGCCATTAACCACAGGATTTTCCTGGGAACACAGATAGAAATAGTATCATCAAAAACAGTCTACAGGACTTTTCAAGTGCAAAGTATATCCGCTTTCAACCGGTATCATATAACGCTTGGAAGGTTCTCAGAGTGGAAGTTTATGGAATACTTCTAAGTAAAGGTATTTAAGTGCGTTATCGCTATTTGTTGAACACGTTAATTTTAGACATTTGGGGTTCATGGGTAGTGGTAATTTCGCAAAATTCAAGTGCTATTATTTTAACAGCACTTGAGTTTGTCAACAATTTTCCACGTTTTCCATCTGAAACGCTCTCCTAAAGTTGATTTCAATGTGCATCGAATTGTTGTTTTGAAACTCAAGAACAAAACATGGGCAGATTATGCAACCAAAGGAAAATGCCCGAGTCTGCAGTAAAATGTATTAGCAATGTGGATTCCAGGTCCTGATAAGTTCCCATGGCAACAAATTTGTTCAGCTTCAGTTCTGAAGAGCATCACATTCACTTATGATCCCTCACACTGCCGGTTAATTAGTGTCTACTTCCTATTTAGTTTATAAGTGAATTTACCATGGTGATTAATTACATTTTCCTTTCTAAAATTTACATCTATCATTATCCACAAATTTAAGCATGCATCTCTTGTTGTTTATTTCAGTTCCATCAAAACCTCCTACTGCCCTCAAGTTGACTGCAAAGTCCTCTGCCAGCATTAATGCTTCCTGGCAGTTACCACCAGTAATTGCCAGACATGGAACCATTGCAGGGTTTAGACTGTTTTACTCAAAGAAAGGTTCTAGAGAGCAAGCAGTTAAAAACGGAACAACATTAAGTATGCTTGTCAGTGGGCTTGATAAGTTCACAGAATATGAATTTCAAGTGTTGGCCTACACGCCTGGTGGTGATGGACCAAAAAGTTCTGTAAAAGTGGAGAGAACAATGGAGGATGGTATGTGACAGTCCAGAGATAATGAAAAAATCTGTGAACCATACACTGAATGCAAATATGGCGTCCAATTTGAATTGCCATTGTTCCGGACTGACTAGCCTCGTCTTCACGTGGAAATACATATATCTTAGTAACCAAGCGCGAGGGCCGTACTGGGAGAATATCGGCCCGAGGTCTTGACAGTACGGACCGAGCGCAGCGAGGTCCGTACAAAAAAGACCGAGGGCCGATATTCTTCCAGTACGGTCCCGAGCAAGCTTGATTAATAAGAGACTTATTATACGACTGAAGTTCAAAGGGTCACAAGTGAGGTATCATTCAGGACCATTTGGAACAGTGCCCAGTCCAATACGGAGAGAATATTGACCGGCAATAGAGCATTTTGATTGGCTGATTTTAGTCATTGGCTCTCTGACTGCCCAAGTTGTGTAATAAAAAAGGATTATTACATGTGTGAGAGGCTAGTCAGTCGAGAACAATGGCAACTCAAATTGGACGCCATATTTGCATTCGGTGTATATTTTGTGAATTTGCATCTTCATTACAGGTTTCCTAAAAATTACAAGAGGGTCCCCTATACTTTTTATGTGAGGTGTGATTGAGCGAAGTTTTTCTCGTAAATGTGATTTGATTTTTTTTCTAATTAAACAACAAAATAGTTAGGATCAATTGATTACTGGCAAGTTAAGGTATGATAGAAGTTTTTCAGATATTTTTACAGCTAAATAAACTAATTAAAAATGCTACTGCTCAATTGCAGTTCCTTCACGACCTCCATCTAACTTTACTGTCATTGGAACCTCTTCTACCAGTGTTACAGCATCATGGCAATTACCACCAGCAGACTCCAGAAATGGAATAATTAAAGGATTCAAACTGTTTTACAAAAGGAAAGAACTGTCAGGGGCAGGAACCCTCTTTCAAATCAACAAAGAATCAACTTTGAGCAAAAATGTCACTGGTCTTGATAAGTACACAGAATATGAATTTCGAGTGTTGACCTTCACTTCTGTTGGTGATGGAGTAAACAGCTCTGTGGTTGTTAAGAGAACAAAAGAAGATGGTTAGAACAACTTTCTGTTTAATCTTCTTAAATTTTCTTGACTTTATAATAAAAAGATCAGATACACATAGACTTCTCATACAGTTTTCTGAAGTGAAATAAAAAATGAAACTATACAATCATGCATTTATGGAAATGACCATTATTTAACATGCCAATACAGTCATGCGTCATGAGTGGTAAAGTAATTATTCCAAGACAACTAACAATAATGTAGACATTCTGAGTGGACATTAATTTCTTACTTTTTCCCCATGAAATTATGCATGCTAGTCAATTTTAGCAACTAATTCTGTTTTCCTTCCTTGTGGATTTAGACCTTAATGGTGTATCCTTAGTTGCCTTGCAAATTTATAGTATTTTTTGGATATGGTGCTGCTGTTTTGTTTTGTTTTGTTTTTGCAGTTTGTTCCTGTGTGGCATTTAAAAACAAACATACAAAAACACGTAAACGAAAAACAGAACATCTGATTTTATCAATTATTTTTCCTCAATGGAAGAGACCTCGTACGAAAAAAAAAGTTAAAATATAATGAGGCTATTAATGTTTACCTCAAAACCACTTTCGAATATGGCATATTTTTAACATAGATTGCTTGCCTAATAATATGCATGCAACAATCTTAGCATCCTCACTGCCTGAGAACTCGTCAATTAATCTCAGACATTGCAGAAAGTTGAGATTAAATTGATTTGCAGGAAAGTCACGAAAGCACAACAAAACAAAAAGGCGGACAGGTTAGGAGGAAGTAATGACGTTTTAATCTAAAATTTGAAGAGGAGTACTCAACACAGAAACACCCAACAAAGCGAATCAACAGGCTAAACAACTGGACGAATACGGCTCCCCAAAATTGATATGACAAAAGTATTGAAACGCATGGACTTGGAGGCCCAGAAAAATGTTTATTTAGCAGTTCGAACTAAAGATGGGGAGATTATAAGACTTATGAGCTGCTATTAAGCACTTATCTGATTAATAACGATAAGAAGATGAAGATCGTAATAACTCTGTTTATCGTTACGATGATTATCAGATCTTTTTTAATCATACGTCACTTCTCAATTACAGTTCCTACACAGCCTCCTAGTGGCCTCACTGTGACTGCAACCACTTCTACAAGTATAACAGCATCGTGGCAGTTACCACCAGAAGACTCCAGAAATGGAATCATCAGAGGATTTAAATTGTTCTACAAAGAGAAAGGCTCTTCAGGGCCACAACGCATGCAGCGTATTGACAATGAGGCAACTCGCACTAAAGAGGTCATTGGGCTTGAAAAGTTCACGGAATATGAATTTCAAATATTGGCATTCACTTCTGTTGGCGATGGATCAAAAAGTACAGCTGTTTTCATTAAGACAAAGGAGGCTGGTAAGAAATAGGATTCTAGCGAATTCCTATCACCATGAAATTCAGAAAACCATGAATATTATGAATCTCTTCAAATTGTTATTCAGCCATAAAGAACAGATCAAACAGTCTTGAGAAAACGTATTTTATCTGTTTTCTCGCCTAATCTGTGATGTTGTAGATCTTAATCTGATCAACATTTAAAGTGCACATTTACAATTTACTACCCTACGTTCAGTGCCAAAAGATTGGAGAAAGCAGGAGTTGCTGGGGTAGAGGGTGAGTCAGCTCTTTCTTCTGAGGATCCATTCGAAGGAAATGACTGTGTCCTTCAGCTGTTAGCGTAAATAGACGGTGTCATGTACTCATGTATAGCTCTGCTTAGTTGCAAAGGAACATGTTGAACTGTTTCCAATTTCGTTTTGAAATTTAAATCCTGCGAAGTATGCCTGTTCTATTTTCGCGAAACTCATTTGTGGTCAAAATAAGTGACAATAAGGTAGCTGGCACAAATGTTCAATTTCATGAAGTCTCTATAATTATACCAGCTACGTGTGGTGGTGGCACTGTTGAAAGTGATAAGGAAGGGAAAGAAGGTCCCAATTTAAATGAAATTTGCCCATTTTATGGCAATCAGATATGTAAAGTTTTTAAATGTTATCAACCAGCCAGTAAATCTCTTATCCTGCAGTTGTTGGTGGTGCGTTGCCATATGAGAAGTTTCAATAAGAAAACAGGAAAGATTTTTAAAGTAGTTGAATAGAAAACAGTAAGTGCGCCAAAATCATGACTGCAAACTTTGCTATTGTCTATTGGAAATCTGTTATTACCTGTACCAGCCTTATTTAGTGTAACATGGATCTTTATCAGACATGTATATAAGGCTATTTTATCTATAACTCAGACATCTTTATGTCTGAATGTGCCACTCAGTCAAGGAGGCATCGATGTCTTTTTGCATAAAAACTTTGAAATTTATGGCTGCAGGTTAGCTTCACCATCTACAGAGTCTAGTTGTTAGGAAAAATGACTTTCAGCCTGATTCGTTAATTACACATGCTAATTAAAACATGATTACTCAATTGCAGCTCCTTCACGATCTCCATCCCAGTTCACTGTCACGGTGGAATCTTCGACCAGTATTTCAGTTTCGTGGAAGTCACCACCAGAAAAATACAGACATGGAATCATCAGAGGATATAAACTGTTCTATAAAAAGAAAGACTCAGGTTTTGCAACCTCCTTCACTATTGACAATGGAAAAACATCAAAAATAGTTACTAACCTTGATGAATACACAGAATATGAATTTCAGGTGTTGGCCTTCACTTCTGCCGGTGATGGACTAAATAGTTCGGTTAAAGTCGAGAGAACAATGGAAGATGGTGAGAATGTGAAGTCCTTTAACTAACATTTGTATAAATTTTATCATCAGTTGCTTGCATAGAGTGATGTTACTGATTGATTTAGAGTGATAGCTTTCAAATTTGAACTCCAGGCCCCTCCGTTAAGCTTGCCTCTTCAATTAGATTTTTCCTTGCAATTAATAAGATATTCTCCTTTGTCATGGGTTGTGAATAATCGGCTACTTTTAGTTTGCTTTCATGACTTGAGTTGTTCGGTTTCTCAGATGAACCTGTATGTAATTTAATTTTTGTATTATCCTTATTTAAAAGCCAGTTCCTAATTACTTTATCGCTACATATGTTATGGTTTTGCATCATACTGCAATACTGTACGTTTGAGACTAATTGCTAATGATAACATATGATAATTTTCTGTATTATACTTTTATTGATAATGATAATTTGTTCCTCCAGCTCCCAGTGCACCTATGTCTTTGTCTTTTGTTGATGTGCCACCCAGCAATTTGCAAGGTCCAAGAATGACGTTGTCCTGGCATAAGCCTGCAAAACCAAATGGAGTTGTGAGAAGTTACACTTTGTTTTACAGTCACAGTGGAGGTACACCCAGAGAGATTTCTGAACTACACAAAGGTGCATTGAATCACACAGTTGATGTGTTGGGTGGAGCGACTTATCAGTTTCATCTTAGAGCTGTGACTATTAAACCTGGAGCAAATGCCACCAAAACAGTAACTACCAAGGAATATGGTAAACCTTACTTTCCTATCTTTGAAATGAATTTTCATGACTTTTATAAGTTAAAAGACCAAGAACAGTAATGACAACAAAGCTATTTGTATCATGCGAAAATAAATCATTATAATTATATTATGTAAATTCAAAGTACAGACAGTAGCTAGCCACCCAAAATAACACAAGAGCTAAACTGGTTGGGTGACTCTAATGTATTAATTGGAATAAACACAAGAGTAGGGAAGGAAAAGCGGCGATTCGCTAAATCATTTTGCACATATCTTGATTAATACTAGTTACCTGCAGTACAAATATGTAATTTAAAAATGATTCACCAACACTTAACATATATAAAATGGTAAAAAACCAGGAGATAACAAGAAAACTGTCGAAACTAAGTAAATAAGTATGGGTGACCGCCATTTGCTGTCAATTAACCCCCTTGTTCTTTGTCATCTGAAGACTTAAGCGATTCTAAGTGATTAATTTATTACAAATGAAAAAGCAGTTATGGTACATATTTATGGGACAATGGTTCAACTCTGACTTTACTTTTTCGAAAATTGTTAGTTTTTCTCTCCCAATTGTGGTAAAAATATTTCCCCTTTATGAATGGAATACGAAAACATTTTTTGCTAGAAAGTAGAAGTTAGTAGTTACGTTTCTTCGAATCCCGTACATGCCTGATTTTTTTCAGGTCTGATTTTCACTATTGCTTAAATACTGCTCAGTTACTGCGAGGATCGTGCACAAATACAATTCTGTCTTCGTTTAAGTATGACATTTTTACTCTATTTCTAAGCACCCAGTGTTGGCCCAAAACTTGCTTCACCCTCTCAAGTGAACAAGACCACTTTTAATATTTCATGGGAACCTTTACCAAGAGGAAAGAGTTATGGAAATGTGATACGGTATGAAGTCAAGGCCATTTTCTTGAAGAAAGGAAATTTGCGTAAAAGATCTGTCATCGACAGCCCCTCTGTGAATACCTCAGATACATTTGTTGTCTTGTATGACCTCGAGCTTTGTTCTACATATAATGCTTCTGTTCGAGCTTACACTGGAGCAGGGCCTGGACCTTATGGTGTACCTTTAGAATTGGAAACGTCCAGTGAGTTTGATAAGATTATTATGAAAATTGTCTTGGTTTGTGACATGATTGGTGAAAAAGAAAATCTGTAAAAATAATCAATATAGTGATGAGGTCAGTTGAGTTTGATAGGATCGAAATGTTCGAACTACAATTATACTGTCTGGCAGAGTACGATTCAGTTCACTTTTTCAAGAACTAATATTGTCCGTTATACTGTGTTTGCTTCCTGGTAAAAAGAAAGTGACAAGAGAAATTGAAGCACAAACTGTTCTGAATTTCTAATCAAGTGTTACACTTGTTACATATGATGGATTGTAGTCGGTAATTCAATCCCTAGCCAGGGCAATTTTATCTCCGTCGCGACCCTATTGGATTAAAGTGCAACTTGATCTGTATTCGTGCCGACTTATTTTTCAATTATATTTCTTACATGTTTTTTTTTCTATTTCATTTTATTTTATGATCATTGAAAATTTTTAAACAAGCATTCATTGTATGATGGGTAAATTATTTGCTTAAGGTATTCTGACTTCACAACTGTAACAAAGTACTTTAGAATTTTCTAAAACTTGTTTTTCCAACATCACACTAAAGGACCTGAAGCACCAGGGGAATTTAGGGCAACGGCTTATGGAGCAAACCAGGTTTCACTGGCGTGGAAACAATATGATGAAAAGGAAAAAATTGAATACACTGTAAGTTGGATTAATATCAACGTATTTTGTTGTTTTTGAGATAAATTTGTACACGTGTAATTATGAGTGGTATGTATATCGTACATAGTTAGACATGGTTGGAAACTGACTGTTAGGATGAGATGTTATATGCCTATGTATAGAACTATTGCTAATACTTATAAATGTGAAGGTGTAGTGTGATCGTCCGGGTGAGTGTAGTCCTGAGAAGGACTGTTGTCGGTGGTAGTGACTGACGTTTCGACAACCTGTGCGGAAGTCATCATCAGAGTCAAGTGACATCAGACTCAATTGACTCTGATGATGACTTCCGCACAGGTTGTCGAAACGTCAGTCACTACCACCGACCACAGTCCTTCTCAGGACTACACTCACCCGGACGATCAGACCACACCTTCACATGTTACCCACGGGTTCAAGCCATTTACTGCACTTATAAATGTGTACACCACAAATATACCGAAAGGAAGTTCTTAAGATATTGTCATCAGCAGGATTTTGTCAATTGAAATTTAATTTATATAAGAAAAAACAGCGTCTCATCTTTGCTAGATTGATCAAGGAAAGGTAACCGTTGTGAATGGTTTGATTCATAGTCAGAGCAATTTTATCTTAGTTATAACTTCATGTGGATAAAAAGGAAAGTCCCTCTTATATTTTCATCAGCACGAATTTTTCTCAATGTTTATTTATTTCACAAACTGATCATGAGTTTGAAAGAAGGCCGAATTGCAGGTGGAAAAATGTTAGTTTTCGTTAAATCCTATCCTAAGCTCATTGTTCAAATATCAGAAACTGCACCTTCATTTTCACCTTCGTTTTATCTGAACATAACCTATACCTCGAAGTTCACAATTCATACTGTATTAAAAACTTAATATTGTCCAAGCTTACTCCCTATCAGAGATTTTTTAAATTAAATTAACATATAACTTGACGTGATTGTAGAAACTTTAAATTTAAAATAGTTTTAGAACTCAGCCTGTTGTAATAAATGATGTAGGTGAAGTATACTGGGACAAAGGACTACAATAAAACGTTCAAAGCTGGTGAGAAGAGTATAGAAAGAATAGAGACAACAACGAAGACGGTAACAGAATTGATTCCAGGCACCACTTATGTTTTTAAAGTTCATGGCAGTTCCAGTTGTGGCGAAAGCATTTTTAAGAACATCTCAGTGACAACACATATGAAAGGTGAGTTTGCGAATCGTTAAGGCTGATTAATCATTGTAGTAAGTAATCTATGAAGTCAGTGCCAATGATATCAGGTTTTAGCAAACTACTTTTTACGTAGATCTGGCCCCGTTTGTTCAAAGGGTAGTGAACGCTATCCTCTGGATAAATCTCTAACCGGCTCACAGTGCAGTACTTTTTCTTAATACCTCTTTACCGGGTGGCGATTTATCCGCTCTTTGAACAACTGGACCCTGTTTTCGATGTTTATCTGCTTTCAAAGTGAATTGGTGAAATTGATTTTCTTCCTGCCGTTGAAAGCAATCGATATTAATACTGACAGGGGATAATCAAAAGTGCCCAATACGGTGATAGAACAATGTTTACTTGTAGATCGATTTTCCGGAAGGTCGTTACTTTGCGACCATCAATTGGTAACGCTGCGAAATTCTGTCAAACCCAATTGAATTATTAAAGTCTTACCGTCATTTTGATAATATTACCTCTTGAAGAGATGAGTTTTATTAACTCAGTTATTAGATTCTGCGCAGTATCATGAATTACCCTCTGAACCTGTAGTCATACAGCTATATAATCTCATTTGCAGTAATATAAATGGCTTGAACTGACGTTTCGACAACCTGTGCGGAAGTCATCATCAGAGTCAATTGAATAGTTGTTGTCAGTAGAACGTTCCTGTTGAAAGTAGTCAGTGCTGTAGGTTAGGCATTGCGCAATGCCTAACCTACAGCACTGACTGCTTTCAACGACTGACTCTGGAAAGCTGGTTTACTAACTTAGAACAGACTCCCCTAAACAGGTGTCAACTACTACCGGCTCCATACAAACGACTCATTCACGACATAAACATTACAAACGAACCAAACAGAACGACCTAACTTTACCGACGGATCGAAACAAACCAATCACGACCGACTTACGCCACTTGAGTCTTAGAGCCAATAACATCATGGCAAAACTGACCAATCATTTTACACGACTGGGGACTGAAATAAGAACATTCTACTGACAACGATCATTCACTTGACTCTGATGATGACTTCCGCACAGGTTGTCGAACTCTCAGTCACTACCACCGACAACAGTCCTTCTCAGGACTACACTCACCCGCACGATCACACTACACTTTTATAGCCTCATTTAATAGGAACCCTTTCCTGTGCAAAACTGTTATGGTGATACAAAGGTTTTTACTTTTTTTTTCTTGCCAGCTCCTGATGCCCCTTTTCCGCATAATGTGAGCGATGTTGAGGTTTCCGGGACAGCTGTTGATATTTTTCTGTGGCCTGTTGAACAAAAATATGGTCCAATCAGGTAATTATCAATAAGAATGTGATTCGCTGAGGCGTTAAAGTTTGAATGGATCCTTCCTTAAGATGAGGTAAGATTGCCAGCCACAGCTCGAGAAATTAGGTCACGCTCCTTCCGCGAAGGCTGGGTTTGTGCGTGCGGCGGAAATTAAACTAAAGAGGCGTTAAATATATAAAGGCAAGCGGAAGGAAGACAAATCTTAGCAAGAAACGTCAAATTTTTTTCGCTAGCTGGTGAACATTTCAAGACCATACTAACTACATGGTCAACTTAAGTGGTAAAGCGCCGAACTGCCGTACGGGAGATCGAGGGTTCGAGCCCCAGACTGGACCAACACTCAGGGTCTTAAAATAACTGAGGAGAATGTGCTCCCTTTGCTTCGATATCTGTAATGGTTAGACATTCTCGTCTTCTCGGATAAGGAACAAAAACCGTAGGCCTCGTCTCCTGCATCTTCTCTATACTGGTTAGCAGGGGACGTTAAAGAACCCACACACTTACCGCAAAGTGTAGGAAACGTAGCTCCCGGTGTTGTGGTCTGGCCTGTTTACTGAAATTGGGCACATCTGTTAAAATTAGTCTACACAGAAAGAATTGTAAACTGCTGTAAGCAGTATGTTAAGTTCCCCGCAAAACATTGTTAAGCGCTAAGTGGCTTGCAATAAGTGCTATATAAATTGTAATTTATCATTACTATTATTTTTGTTATTATTATTATTATATCGAAGTATTCAAGAAATGACGATCTGATTCGTGCTTGTTGACAGACCAGAAAAGGCTGACTGTCTACCCCAGACAACCAATCCTACAAATCATACAAGAGTCTCTCGTTATTAATTCAATTTTATGGTAATTAAGTAGGCAGAAACAACTCTTAGTAAACGCTCTTTACTTGTAGCAAGCTATGGTATGTTGTTGCAAGTGGGTTAAACTCGGGCAGGAGGTTTCTAGTCCGTTGTATGCACCCCATTACTGATGCCAAGATCAAAATATACCTATATTAATATTATTACTATATTAATGGGCTTTTTGGAGATGTCAGTCATTGGTTAAGCATTTTGTTTTTTACCTTTCAGTGCTTATCAGGTTATTGTTCTGAAAGTCGCTGATGGTGTTGAAGAGCTTCCAGACAAATATGATTCAAAACTGAAAGCTGCAAATGATGCTAAGACAGAGGACGTGAATTTTTACATCGCTGCTGAGATAGAAAATATCCCATTACTGGACAAACCTCAGAAATTTACTGTTGGCGATGGTGAAATAACTGAAGAATATGTGAATAAAAAACTTGAAAAAGGAGAAAACTACATTGTGTATGAGAGAGCTCTAACTAAAACCGAGACGGTATGTAAACTTATTATGTAAAAAATATCACTCTTTTATTTCAAGTAGGATCTGACAATGATTGTGGTGAAATGGTCTGTCTTTTCTTTTCGAAAACATATCTAATGTAATCCCTATCTACAAGTTTTATTGCGGAGGAGGCGTATCCTAAACTCACTAGAGCACTAACTTGCTTCTATTAATTGTACAACTGGGTTTACTGACCTCTTTCTGCGGCGATTTTTAAGAGTAGTGAACTAGAAGTTACTACTGTCTGATTTGGTACTGCTGTGTTTAAGTGAGGAGGTAGGCTAATCTAAGCATGTAGTAACTTTGCAGTTGCTTTCTTTTTGTCTCAGTTGCCTCTTTGGTGCACAAAGCTCGTGCATTTTTGTTTTGTTTTGTTTTTGTTTTCGTTTATTTCTCAGGAGGAATTAAAAGGAAAAGCAAGTATTGTTGCCAGAATTTCCATCAGTTCGACCACTACGGGTTTGTCTTCATTGTACTTAACTAATGATGAACTTACATACTGAATAATTGTACTACAACGCCACAGGGTGAAAAATGATTTAAAGAGCTTTTCAAGAGCAGTTTTAATTACAACTGGCCTGGAGATCCTCTTTGTAAAGTTGTTTTCCTCCAAGGAAATTTTCGTTTCCAGATTTTCAAAGCCTGGTTTCTACATTTTCGTTCCGATTCTCTAGATCATCATGCTATGCTAAATCCAAACCACCAGCTTTAAGCTTTCACCATGGTGGACCATGCCGGCTGAATTCTCAGCGAAAGTCGACAAATTCTGTACCTGTTTTCGGCTGTCGTATAGCAAGCGGTAATGTTTTCCTCTTAAAAAAAGAAAAAAAAAGTAGGTAAATATTGAGTTGGTTCTCCGTCGTTGCCGGTTATGAGATTGTTTTGTCCTGAGATGTCCTGGAATTGAAAGGAAAAGCAAGTATATTTGCCAAAATTTCCATCACCTCTTCCACTACGGGTTTGTATATATTGTACTTAACTAAAGATGAAGTTGCATATTGAAAAATTGTACTGCAAAGCAACAGAGTGCAAAATTATTTAGATAGCTTTGCAAGAGCAATACCAATTACAACTGGTCTGGAGATCCTCTTTGTAAAGTTATTTTCCTCCAAGAAATTTATCGTTTTCAGTTTTTTAAAGCCTGGTTTCTACATTTTCGTTCCGCCCTAGATCATCATGCTATGCTCAATCCAAATCACCAGCTGTGAGCTTTCCCCGTAGTGGACCATACCGGCTAAATTCTCAACGAAAGTCGACAAATTCGGTGCCTGTTTTCGGCTGTCGCATAGCAAGCGGTGTTGTTTTCCTTTTTTTAAAAAAAAAAAGTAGGTAAATATTGAGTTAGTTCTTCGTCGTTGCCCGTTATGATAGTGTTCTGTCCTGAGATCTCACGCGAACCTTCAGAAAACGATTGTCGGCCACTGTCGACTAAAATTCTTTTTCTAGCGACGATTTTCTGAATTTTGTTTCCTAAACGTCTACTCTAAAACAACTGTTAGCTTGCAGCACTACAAGTAAGTAATTCCAGTAGAGCTTAATTGTTATTCTCTTCTGCAGAAGGTGGGAAAAAGGGAAAGTCGAGCGGTTCTAATGCTGCAGTTGTTGCTGTACCTGTGGTCCTGTTGCTGCTTCTTATACCAGCAATTGTTGTTGCAGTGTTCTTATACCGGAGGTTTGTTTCTTTTTAAGACGGAATACTAATGAATGAGCGTAGAAAAAAAAAGTATGGCAACCGAAAATTAGACATTTTGTCCTTTTTGTCAGGAGAAGGCGGTCAAGATCCAAAAGTGCCACTGAAAGATCTGTTCAACTTGATGACCTGAAAAGCGGTTCTCAAGACCTTACCTCAAGTACATCAAATCT